GGAGTCTTGCTCTTCTGCTCTCTGTCTTACTCCTGAAGCAGGGTCTCTCAGCTGACCCCAGAGCTTACAGCTAGGCTAGCAGCCAGCTTGCTCTAAGGATACTTACTGTATTGACACTTTGTGAATGCTGCAGTTACAGTTAGGTACCACACCACCCAACATTTATACAGGTCTTGGAGCCTGGAACGCCTATCCTCACATCTATCCAATGAGCACGCCCCCAGCCCCTCCACCTTAACTTGTGAGACAGGGTCTCTTGTTGAATCTGGAGTTCAGGAACTTGGTCAGAGTAGCTAACCAATGGGCTCTGGGGATCCACTTGTCTTCACTACCCCAGCACCGGGGTTGCAGATTTCTCTCTGAGCTCAGCCTTTCCTACGGGTGCTGTGGATCTTTACACGTGTGCAGCAAGCAGTTTGCCCATGGAGCCGCCCTGCCAAGCTCCCACAGGACTTCTTTAAACTGAGCTCTCCTTTGCCATGGATTCGAGCCCTCGGGTCACATGATGCTCTCATGTGCTCCCAGACTTTGCTGCAGGTATGTAAGACACACCTTAAAGTGAACAAAAGCTCTCTTGGCCAATTCCTACCCCACTGATTGTGTGCCTGATTCTTCTGTGACATAAGCCTCGCAGTGGCTGCTCATGGTATCTCCCGGGATCCTCTCTTCCTCAGGTTTCACATCCTCTCCTCCTCATTTCATGTGATTTACATCTCTTTGCTGTAACTGCTTCTTTGGCTCACATTTGGGCTTACTAACATAATGCTAAATATGATCTCAGACTAATCCTAACGGACAAGTTCGGAAACCATAATGACCCAGGGCCCAGGCTAGCACAGAGTGAAACGTTGCCTGGAGAAAGGCTGCTTTGGTGAACCATGTAGGTGGGCTCAGCTTTGCATTCAAACATTACTGAGTGTCTTGAGGTCTTAGCTATGTCATCTAGAAGGCTGTGGTGACAACAGGAACAGTTCATTGCTATAGAAACAGTCAGGAAAGTACCTTACAGCATTACTATTATTGTAGAATTTAAGTTCTAAAGTTTATTGACAAGTTACATTTGCCAGAATTTTGAGAAACAGTGTCAAAGATTAAAAAAACTGGCACAGCATGGAAAAAATTAGTATAGAGACTGTACTAGGAAAACTAGAAATAGATTTCAGTGTTCTGGTCACTTTTATGTCAACCTGACACAGGCTAAAGTCAGCTGGGAAGAGGGACTCTCAATTGAGAAAATGCCTCCATAGAACTGGCTTGTGGGTAAGCCTGTGGCGTGGTTCTCACTGAGTGATGTAGGAGGGCCCAGTTCACTGTGGGTGAGGCCATTCCTAGACTGGTGTTTCGGGGTAATTAAGAAAGCAGGCGAAGCAAGGTAGGAGTAGCAAGCCAGCAAGGAGCACTCCTCCATGGCTTCTGGATCATCTTCTGCTTCCAGGGTCCAGGTTCCTGACTAGACCTCCCTGGATGATGGATTACAAGCTGTAAAAAGAAATAAACCCTTTCTCCAAGGTGCTTTTGGTAACGGTGATTTATCAGCAGCAGAAACCCTAACCAAGACATCCGACAATCCTAGTATTGGTATTGTTTTAGTTAGGGTTTTATTGCTGTGAAGAGACACCATGACCACTGTAAATCTTATAAAGAAAAACACTTAATTAGAGCTGGCTTATAGTTTCCGAGGTTTAGTCCATTATTGTCACAACAGGAAACATGGCGGCATGCAGGCAGACATGGTGCTAGAGGAGGAGCTGAGAACTCTACATCTTGATCCACGGGAGCAGGAGAGACTGCCCCACTAGGCCTAGCATGAGCATGAGACCCTAAAAGTCCCCACAGTCACATGCTTACTCCAACAAGGCCACACCTCCTAATAGTGTCACTCCCCATGGGCCCAGCATTCAAACACTTGAGTCTACGGAGGCCACTCCTATTCAAACCACCACAGGTAGACATCTAAAATAGTCACGTGCACTTCCCTGCCTCACTCTTTATGATAGTCACGAGTAGAATCAACCCAGAGGCTGTGGATGAGCGACTGGCTAAGGAAATGCGGTACACATACACAGTGGAGCATTACTCAACTGTAAACAATGCTGCCATCTACAGCAACGTGGCTGGAAGACAGAAGTAAGCCACACAAAGACAAGCATCGGCTGTTTTTACTAATACATGGAAGTACAGCACTGATCTGTCTCTGAGAAGCAGAGAGTGTAGAACAGTGCTTACCAGAGCCCAGCAAGGGTGTGTGGGAGGACGATGGGTGATGGAAATACTGGGCGAGCCATGTTTAGCAGAGGAGAATTACTACAGTTGGGACTAAGTGAACACTTCCTATCAGCTTGTAGAGACAATTTGTGAATGCTCCTAGAACAAATAGCCAATGTCTGAGGTGACAGATACGCCACTACCCTGATCTGATCCCACACATGAACACTTGCACTAAAATGTAAGTATGTACATTTACTGTGTCAAGTAAAAAGTACAGTAAAAAAAAAATCAAATAAAAGGACTAGCACCTCTCTTGCTATTCATTTACTTACCTTGGACTTTGTTTAAAGGACACATTCAACCAACACGATGAAGGAGACAGAAGAAGCCTTACTGGTGATGGGAGGGTACGCAACTGTAACTGTGTCCTCTCCTTCTGCACTAGAGACCCCAGCCTGCTCCTTGCCTCCCTGGATTGATGTAACTCCCAGCAGAGTCTGCAGCTGTCTGAGCAGGCTCATGCTGCTCCTTCTGCCTCTTACACACAGTGCAGGGAGCGGCCTTGCTGCTTCTCAGGATGAGTTGCAGCGTCTTTAGACAGACCTTGTGCTGCACTGTGTGTGTGTGTGTGGGGGGGGTGTCACTGAACACGCTCCCTTTCCCTTTCATTCTATGCAGTCGGGCAGTGACTGAGAGCCTGGTATGGCATTTCCCAGCAGGGCTCTGCAGGAATTAGCCTTAGGCTGTGGCAATGAAGGTGGTATGTGTATACTCTGAAGGGCACAGGAAACCCAGGTCCAGTGTCAAGGCTTCAGCTGAAGCCTTGCCAGCTGCTCCTGCACCCCCACTTTGATGTTCCAGGCAAACTAGGTCACTGGTGGGAACAGCCTTGCAGTTTCTGTGGTTTCCCTTCATTGCGCCCCCTCAGGCTTTTTTGAGATTTTGAGTTCTTTATATTAAGTCAGTATCTACTAAAATCATGAGTTTTACTTCTCTTGACAGGTTTGGTAGGGTAAACAGAAGCTACCCAAGTACATAGGACTTCTTGAGAGGCACTGAAGTGATCCAGAGCTCTCAAGGAGCTGCTGCAAACTTCAGCATCTCTGGCTGCCACCGACAACCTCTGCCACCTACTGCAAGACAGGAGCTACAGTGTGGATACAGAATGTTCTCAGAGGGCCCCATACTAAGGGCTTGGTGTCCTGCTTGTGGAGCAGCTGAGCAAATGGAAAGCACTGAGAGGGATTGGGTAGGTTTTCAGGTTACTGGGGGACACTGTAGTCCCAGGTGTTTCTTCTTCTGTTCCCTGGCTTTGAATGAGGCACAAAACTTAGTTCTGTCACGAGCCTCTGTCATCACACGCTGTCTCATGATTAACACAAAAGCACAAAGAGACAGAGCCAACTGATCCACAGGCTGAAACGACTACAACAAATCTCTTTTTGTCAGTTGATTACTTTAGGCATTTTGTTACAGTAACAAGAAGCTGACTTAAAGCTAGCTCGCTCTCTCTCTCTCTCTCTCTCTCTCTCTCTCTCTCTCTCTCTCTCTCTCTCTCTGTGTGTGTGTGTGTGTCTATCTGCCTGTCTGTCTGGGGAATGCAAGGATCTTGCTCTCCTCTGTGGCCCAGCAGACTAGAGAGGGGGCCAGGGATGCCGAGCTGAAAACGCCTTTCTCAGATTTGTTTTTAAGACACTGTTGACGACTGGATGGGCAACTGTGTTTAAATTCTACCCTCCTGAGCAACACTCTTCCTTGCTACAGCTACATGTACTTGCAGCATGTAGCAATGCCTTGCTTCTGGCCTACAGATATCACAATGTTCTTTGCCATGTACTGAGAAATAAATTATCTTCTTTGGTGTATAAAACATCTGCACCTTGAGACAATGCTTCTCGGCCTGTGGTCATGATACTCTGTGGGGTGTGTAGTGTCAAACGACTCTTTCACAGGGTTGCCTAAGACCATCAGGAAGCACAGAATTTACATTATAAGTCACAACAGCAGTAAGATGATAGCTATGGAGCAGCAACAAAAATCATTTTATGGCTAAGGTCACTCCAGCAGAACCACTGCCCTAAGAGTTCAGGACAGGGCCAGGGACTTTCAGCCACTTCAGGAGCACCTCTGCCATTCAAATGTGAAGTATTTTCTTGACATGCAGTATCTCCCCCTTTTCCGTAAAGTACTTTTCTTTCCATTACTGTATAAAGGCGTACAGTAAGCAGTGGACGGACCACAAGCTAGCGCTTTGGAGCCAGACTGCCTGGGTCTGACTCAGGCACTTCCTGGTTGGAATGCTCTAGCTAAATGAATCTTTCCATACTAGTCTCTTCACCTGACGACTTCAGCTGTTAACACCAGCTGCTTTAGAAGGGTGTTGAGTGAGGTGGTACACTTAGATGCTGAAGTCCCAGTATGACACAGGGAGGCACTCACAAACATCAGGCACCGTAGTATTGGTACCACCATCACTGCTGCCTTCCCATTAGCCTTTTGTGATGTCTGTATAATTTGTTTGACTGAATTAAAAATACACCTGTTAACTATGAGTTGCTTGTGGGGTGTGCAGGGCTTACTCGTGGGGTGTACAGCGATGTAAACGCATATCTGATTATTCTCTTACGAACTGTGGTTTTGGTATCAGGATACAGCAGAGGGAATATTTACATATTCTGACATATGAGCACTGGTAAGCAGCATGAGTCTCAGTAATGGCTGCTGGAGGCTGAGATGTATGTGCCTCAAGTGACCCACAGCCAGTATCATGGACAGTTCTTCAGCTGGCTTACCTTCAGTCTGTCTTTGGGCAGCGCCACAACGCCTTGTTTAATGATTTCCAAGACCCTTTCCACTGACAGCTCAGCTCCAGCTTGTAGCAGTCTTGAGCTAAAGAAGGAGATCACCTGCAAAGAAAGAGTCATTAACACAGATTTATTGACTGTATTTTATGGGATTTGCCTGCATGTATGTATGTGCATCATATGTATCCCTGTTGTCCACGGAGGTCAGAAGACGGCATCAGAGGTCCAGGAACTGGAGTTACATGTGGTTCTTAGTGGCATGTGGGTGTTGGAAACTGAACCCAGGGCCTCTGCAAGAGCAGCCAGTGCTCAACCTCGGAGCCATCTTCCCTGCCTGGAAGTTATTGTTTATCAATTTTTTTTTTATAGTCCTCCTACCTCAGCCTCCCAAGCAGCCAGGATTATAGGCGTAATACAAAAGGCAAACACTGAACCACGAAGTTGCCGGAAATGGATTTTCAGTGAAGCCCTTCTCACCTAAAGTCAAGCCTTCCTACTTCCACTTTTAAGGGACCTGGACTTCGCTTTATCTGACCTCCTAGCCATTGTCCTCTCTACAGGGTTGATGGCAACCATGTGTCTGCCCTGAATCAGGGTCCAGCTACCCCCCATGCTGTCCTGTGTTCTGCTTGTTGCTCATTTTAGAGGAGTGCTGTAGCAGATGGGAAAGGAAGGCAGAATCTTCAGTGTGTCAATTTCCAAGCTTGATAAGAAACCCCAGAAAAAGTCGTACAGGAAAATAATTTTAATGGCTAAAATGTATTTGGGAATTATCTATGATTTGAATTCATTTGTAGCATTCCTAACCGCAGTCACCAAGGATATCAACAGCAAGCTTCTGTTTGGTGTCACCATATAGCCTGAGCTATGCAGTAAAATGCTAACATATAGCTCCAGTCCAGATCACTGAAAATTTATAATTGGAAATTAAAGGTAGTGGGGTAGGGGGGTCTTATGTGGGTGAAGTTTGTCTTGCAACTATGAGGACCAGAGTTTAGTTTGTGGGACTCACATAAGAAATCCAGATGTGGTGGTCCATGCTTATAACCCCAATGCTAGGGAATCAGAGGCAAGAGGATTCCTGGTGCTTGCTGGCCAGCCAGCCTACTGTACTTGGTGAATGCCAGGTCACTGAGAAACTCAGTCTCAGAAAAGAAAAGAAAAGAAAAACAAAGGAAGGAAGAAAGGTGCTGTGTTGTCCTTGAAGGGTGGTGTAGAGGTCACCCTGGGTCTCCACACATGTGCATGTGCACACAGAAACATAAACATACACACTGAAATAAACACAAGGCCAGCTGGCAGCAAAGCTGGAGATGTAGTTTAAGCATTAGAATGCTGGATAGCTTATATGAAGTCCCGGTCTCAAGCTCAAGTTCTGCAGAACCCATGCCAACCAAGCAGTCCAGCAAACCATACAGAATGGCATCCGAGGCTCCCAGGGAGGTGCTATTAAAGCCACAGTGTTACAGAGCAGCAAGACTGCTGACCTGTTCACTCAGAAGGGTAACAGTGCTTTTAGTCAGACATGCAAAAATGTAAACATTTGTTTCCAAAGGCTGAACATCTGGCTGAGAAAGCTCAGCAGGTACAGGCTCTTGTCACCATGTCAGATGATTTGAGTCCCATCTCTGAGACCCACACGGTGGAGGGAGAGAACCAGTTCCCCCCAAAAAATGTAAAAGATTTTAAAATGTTGAACTCCCCCCCCTTTTTTGCTTCCTCCATGGCTTCTATTTCACATGTAACACAAAATTTTGAAAATATTTACATGTTTTCTTTGAAATATCTCTCATAAGTACTTACTCTTGAAGAGTACTGGTGTTTCTCTTAAGTGTTTTAGTAGACAGTTACGCTGTGCAAATGCCACAGGAATATTTTCACTCTGGGAAAAAGACACTACTCTGGCTATTGGCAAGTGTGCACCTCTCAGCTCATGCAAGAAGCGATCACAAGGAAGCCAGCAACTTTACTAATTGCTTATTTTGCCCACAGTAGGTTGGCTTTTCATATGTGTTAAGTACAATTTCAGGATTTTGGGGACTGTGGGATTGAGGCTCTGTTCACAGTGTCCATGGCACATGAAGGGTTTTACTATATAGCATAGCGACTAAGAGCTGAAGATAGGTACAACACAAGGAGAAAACGCATTACCAAAGGTCTGCTAGAATCCTACTTTAAAATATACAGAAGGGTTGGTAAGAGGGCAGAGCTGATAAAGGAACAGCCTTTGATCTACATTCAATCCCTGGGACCCATCTAAAAGTGTCATGCAGGTACACACATACACCTGATACACACAACAATAATAAATTAAAAATAAAATATGCAACAAAGATATACAAAATGGTTAAAAAATTTATAAATATTGGCAGTTCCTTGTGATTTAGCCTCACAAATTGAAAAATTAATTAAAATTAATTTCTTTGGTCAAAACCATTTAGATGAATTAGTTTATGACTAAAACTCTGAATGGATAGCTGAGCTTTACAGTTCTGAACATTTACTAAAGGCTGGATGATGCTTGGCAGACATGGAGTGGCTTTCAAACACATGAGATCGGCAGAAGCAACCATGAAGCTTCATGAAATACTGACCCTGGGCCTGGTCAGGGACTCTCCAACTGATGTCCCAGGTGCTTCTGACAGTTCACCAGAAGCTAGGCCAGAGGGTCTCAAACTTTACTGACTAAATGTGAGTACAAGTTTATAAAAATAGTATATACCTGCAATAGGTTCTATTTGTTTATAAATGATGTAACATACTACATGCAGAATTAGCTAATAAGAGATTTCTTTTAAAAATTCTGTGTGCATGTTTTGCTTGCATGCATGTCCGTGCACCACATGCTTGCCTGATGCCCAAGGAGGACAGAAGAAGGCATCTGATTCCTTGGAGCTGCAGCTGCAAGACGGCTATGAACTACCAGTGTTGGGAACTGAACTCTGCAAGAGCAGCCGGTGCTCTTATCCACTGAGCAATCCATCTAGCACAGCATACAGTGAGGGTAAAAATACACGCACAGGACGTGGAGGTGGCTCAGTGGGGAAAGGTGCTCACTGCTAAGCCTGGTGACCTACTCGGAAACCCGTATCATGGAAGGAGAGAGCTGACTCCAGTGAGCTATCATCTAATTTACATTCACTGTGGCATGCCCACCATATGTATCCTCAGTGTAATACAAAACACAATTAACAATTGTGAGCAAAGACAAAAGAGCTAGATTTTAAAGAATTACTTTTTGGTGCTCATTAAGGTATTATTGAAGGAAAAGACCTGGGTAACTGGATATCATCATTCTTGGTAATCACAAAGGCTTTACATCAACTGCAAGCAAAATAGAATTCCTAGAAAGACACTTACTATGTTAATTTTATTCATCCATCGATCCATTTATGTATCTATCTATCTATCTATCTACTTATCTGTTTACTTAGAGACAGGGTTTCTCTCTATAGCTCTGGCTGTCCTGGATTGATTGACTGATTTATAGCAGTGTCTACTGTATAGCCCTGGCTATCCTGGGTGCTGGAATCAACAGTATGTGCCACCACACCCAGCAGACTCATTGCTTAATCCAGAGCACCAAACAGAAACCTTCCCACTCAGACTGATGGACCCACTTCTCGTGAGATTTCGTGGGAGTTTCACCCTTACTTCACAAGATGGCATCTGCTCTAGAAGGAGCCAATTTTGCATTGTTCTTTGTCACATGTGCTGATCTTACTGTATTTCTCTCAACTTGAGGGATAAGTATGACATTTTCCAAAGATTTCCTTAATTGAATTAAAATCCTATAGGAACACAATTATTTTTTCTTTCTTTCCTTCCTTCCATTTTTCTTTTCCCTTTCTTTCTTGGTTTATTTTCCTTCCTCCTTCCTTCCTCTCCTCCTCTTTTTGTGGTGGAATTCAGGTTTTGCATAGTCTAATCAAGAGGTCTTCTACTGAGGGACATCTCTAGCCACTAGACCAGTAAAATACAATGTAACACAGCACATGGGAGTATAAAGGGGGTAAGTCTGCCAAGTCCTGTGTCCTGAGGTTCTCCTTCCTTCCCTCAGACTGCCCAGAGTCTGGCCGTTCCCCTTGGCACACTGTCTTGGCATACTATCAAGGAAGAGCTGTACGACCAAGTCATGCCAGCCCACTGTCAATACCACCAGTAAGATGAAGTTTCTGTCTTTTCAGATGAAGAAATGAAGCTCTAATATGCCCTCCCATGATCTTAAGGAATACTGGTGCAACTTAGGGGAGGACCGCTGACCAAGACAGCAAAATGCTCACAATCAAAGCTAAGTGGAAGCTATGGCACTCATATTCCAGAGACACAAGAGGCCAACTGAAGCATGAGTTCTCACACATCACTTAACCAAATACAGAGATGAGGATGACAGGTCTGTTTTGTTCCCTCTGTGGCCTACACTGTCTGGCCTTAAGCCACTGAATAATTCCCCTTTCACCAGGAGAATGGCAGGGTAGTCACGTGGCTCTGGTGGCAAGTAAATTTCATTTACTTATTTATTGCTTATTTATTGTAAAAAAACTGCATCTTGCTTGCACGTTTAAAGTTAACGATCTTTAAGTATAATTTCTGCTTCATCAGGAGAGAGGAAGTAAACGTCTGCGGAGCCGATCACAAAGCCTGCAGTCTCTCTCTACTGTTTATCTAATGCCCACAGCGACTCTATGAGGCTGACAAAGTCTTTTCCTACAGATGACAGAGCCGTGAGCGGACAGAGTGTCAGGTGCAGCTGGAGCTGGGACACCCCTTCTAGTGTCACTAAATCTCCACCAATTCTCAGGTGACAAATGAAGCTCATGCTTGGGTGACTAAAATCCCCTGCCCTGGCACTAGGGACCAAGCACGGTCTTTCTTCCCGTACATTAGGCAAGTGCTCTGCCAACAAGTATGTTTTCAAAACAAACCAACCAAAGACCAGGGTCTCATGATGCATCCTAAACCGACCTAGAGCTGCAATCCTCAGTTATTTTGTTTCTTTCTTTCGATTAAACCCCCGCCTCTACCGCCCACTACACCTGTGTGTGTGTATGATGTGTGTTGTGGCACACATGATACAGTATGTGGATGGAGGTTAGAGGACA